CCAGGCTGCTCCAAGCCCCATCCAACATGGCCTTGAACATCTTGGAAAGGAAGGAAAGTGTCTGTTTGGTTGGTCTTGTATTTCTCTTGGTGGTTCAAACATGAGGACAGAGATTTAGGAATGAGACAAAAGTGAGACAAGAGTCCTGAGAAGAGAGTCTTTTAAAGTTGGATGTTTTTCTGAATGTGCAGGGGCTGGTGGGGTCGCTGTGCCTGTGGAATGGCATGTGCAGGTACAGTGTTGTATGACACACAGCTCCTCGTGCAACAATAAAGAGAAAAGTCCTTAATCTCTCTCCTCTGCTGCTTCACACCTTTGTGTAACTAAGGCGGAGGGCAGAGCTTCAGAAATGAGAAGTTTAAAAGTCACAAGGCTGAAATATTACAGAGTTTTTACTTTTTTTTTAAAGGAAATATTTGGACAGTTTTTTGGAAAAATGGCCTTGATGATCGTAGAGGTCTTTTCCAACCTTAATGGTTCTAAAATTGAGTTAAAATAGGAAACTATTGGAGTAAAAGCAACTGTATTTCTTGAAGAGGGGATATTCCCTGTTAGGTTTTTACATAATCCCTCATTAATGGCAAGGGAGTTGGGATTTCTGTGGCTAATTCCAGATATTTGGAAGTTGGCAGTCTTGGCCAGGCACAGAATTCCAAGTAGGGGCTCATCCTGCTGCAGTGGCACCATTTGTGCTGTGCTGGGTGTGTGTCCTCTGCTGGCTTTTCCCCTGCCTGTCCTTCCCAGATGTTCCCAAAGGCAGCCTGGACAACCAGGGCTGAGCTTCTCCACCTGCATTTTATCTGAATGCTGATTGTTCCACTTTCTATCCTGGTGGCTCAAAACAGCCTTTAACCTTCTGTTACTCAGGTCTGGATTTTCAGTGTGTGTCCCCAGTCTGCTGGCACTGCATGCTGGTTGCCACCTTTGCTGAGGCAGAGCTGGGGGCAGTCTGTTTTCCATGCTCCTGGAGGCTGAGCTCCCTTGTGGGTTTGCTATGTGTGGAATTCAGTGAGGAGCAGCAGCCCAGGTGCTCTGGGCCACTGTCCAGCCCCAGGGCCTGGCCTGTGGGACCTGCACCCCACTGCTGTATTTTGGGAAAATGCCAGTGCCAGAGGGGGGCTTGGTGGGAGGCCTCATGCCCTGGCCTGAACAAACACTTCTGGTTCCAGTAACGTGCTAAGAAAATAAAATTAAATAAAACACAACACAAACAAGCCTCTCAAAGCCCAGGGAGGGAACATTACAAAATATTGAAAAAGAAAACCCCACCCATCAAGATGATAGGAAAGGAAATACGCCTCGTGAGGATGAATCAAAATGTTTTTCAGAATTAAAACCATAGAACTTCTGCTTCCTCTTAATGGCAGAGAATTAAGCAGTTAACAAGCCCTCAGAGATGCAATAAACCTTTCAAACCAGCTGAGAGATGCTCTGGAAGGACTTGAATTAATTCCTTTGGCTGCTGTGATGATGAAATGTGCTGGGGTCCCCTTTGGTGAGGCATCCACATTTCCAGCCCTTTGCATTTTGTCTCCTGGGAGCACCTGATGTTGGAGATGTTGGAGGGAAGGAGGGAGGGGTGATTGTTCCAGAGGGAGGCGTGAGCAGTGTCCACAGAGAGCTGGGTGTTCCCAGGCAGCAGCTGGCCCTGCATTTTAGCTGCCTGCAGCTGAGGCAGTGGCTGCACTGCTGGGAGGTTTTCTGGAGTTGCTGGCTGAAGGCCCCACGGCTCAGAAAAGGACTAAAATCCCACTGAGGATCGGTGATTTTTGTTACTTGCCTGGAAATGTGGCACTGGGAAGGGCTGTGTGCTTGGCTAGATAAGCCAGGCACCAGTGCTGGGCTCAGAGGTTCCCTGAGCCAGTTCCCTGGATGGGGCTGCAGGAATGCACTGAGTGTCCCTGGCTCCCTCCTCCTGCCTTTCCCAAAGCTCCTGGGCATTGCTGGGAGCCAGGTGCTGACCCAGGTGGGCCTTTTATGGCTCTTAAAGCAAACCACGTGTGCCATGGAGTCTGGCTGTTGTAATTGCAGGAAACCACAGTAATTAACTGCCAATAATAGAACTTTAGTGTTGCTGCTGGTGCATCCTGTGAGAGGAAATCTCCTTTGGTTCCCTGCTGAGATGAGGCTGAGGTACCTGTCTGGTTCAAATCTGGGTTGTGGTTTGGGATCTGAAAGCCAAAATCAGTTCCTGAACTGAGAAGTCCACCTGCAGGGGAGGGATTTCTGCAGCAGATGGACATGGTCCCTGAAAAAGTCACAGTGTGGTGTCAGAAGCTGCTGTAGGTGTTGGTCTGGGCACACTTGACATTTGCAAAATTAAGTCTTGGCTTGTGCTGTCATCCTGCCTTCTCCTTCTGAGGCAACAGTCACTGTTCCCTCCATGTGTGGATGTACATCTCTAAAATGGGTATTAAAGGGCTGGGGCTTCAAAGGGCAGAGGGAGGTTAAACACACACCCAATGGCCAGGTGTCATCTTTGTTCAGAAATCTGAAAAATGAAGTCACCATTCCAGCAAAGGCCCCTCAGGTACAATTTTAGCCCTGCTTGAATTTCGGTCCCTTCTCCAACCCTGCAGAATTCCCCCAAAATATCCGTGGTGCTGGTATGGTATATTTAGCTTAAAGAGCAGATTGTCCTGGTAACCAGCTGAGGAGATGCTTGGAACAAGCCCGCTGGGATCTTTTCAGGGTATGTTAATTACTCTCCACTGTGCCCAGGCTCTTCCACGACAAAAGAGAACTCGAGGCAGAGCATTGGTGCTGCAGCCCTGCCTTCCCTTGGGCTCCCCTGCCCTGCTCCACTGTCACTCCAGGTTTCCTGCTGGGAATGGGGCAGGCAGGGCAAGTGCTGTTTATTTCTCTGCCTCTTGGTGTGTTTGCTTCTTGATTTATTTGCCTGTTTATTTATTTGCATCTTGATTTACTTATTTAGCAGGCTCTGTGATTCCAGGGGACCCCTCCTGTGGTTGCAGTATGGATCATTAATGTCTTTGGGATTTGCAGCTTTAGCAGATCTTGTCACAGCACTTCCAAGCTTGGGAAAACTCCTTTGCCCAATCCTCTGGGACTGTTGCATGTAGGAAATGCTACTGAGGGGGGCTGAGCCCTGTGCAGGTCACTGGTGAGATCTGTGACCTCTGGCCCATTGTAAGGGATGGCTGTGGGACAGACATGCAGGGACATCCCACGGGGTCTTGGTTCAGGTCTGTCTGGCAGTCTGGGGTTTCTTCTCCCACAGGGGACAAACACCACTGGCTGTGTCAGCACACAGAGCCCTGTCCTTGTCCTTTGCTGCACTTGGGCCCCACTCATCTCCCTGTGCCTTACAATGCACACTTCAGCCCTTTCTGGCCACTGCTTGAGTAGGATAGGACTCCTTCCCTGTCCCTTTCCAGCCTTAAAAACTTCCTCCTTCAAGAGGTGTTGAATCTTTTTGAATAAAGGCTGAAGTGTTGTCCTCCAGAAGTGTTTTGAGACACTATGAGAATTTCAGGCCTCGTGTTCCACCTGCTCTGCTCGGATCTGTCCTTGCAGGTGATTGATGGACATGTCCCCAGCATGCTCTGGGTGTGTGTTCACTGGGAACCTCTTGCCTTTCCCAGCTTTCCCAGGTTCAGGGTGTGTCTGTTGGTTCCATCAGCTGTGGTCTTCTTTGGAGGTCCCTGATGCTGAGGTAGCCCAGGGCTTCACCTCCACTGGTTTTTGTTCCCCAAAAAGCAGCACTTGGTTCCCAGGGCTCTTGGCTTAATTTACAAGGGCTCTGCTTCCCTCAAAGTCTGCCCTGCTCATCCCTGGGAATATAACACTGGAGCCTGGCTGGCTCAGTTCTGTCTCTAGGTGCCTTGGAGCATCCCAGGTGCAGGGTCTAATCTGCTCCTGCTGAGCCTGTGGCTGATGTGCTGCAGGATTTACAGCTTTCACTGTGTCCTGTGCTCCAGTGTGCAGCAGACATGCCCTTATCCTGGATATCTCTGCTGATTTCCAGGGAGCCATCTGAAATGAGCCTTTCCTCCAGCTGTGAGGGTTTACTGCAGGCTGGGGAAGCAGCCTTGTGGAGGCTGGGGGGAGCATCCAAGTGCAGCAGCACTTGGGAGCACACTGCCTGGCAGATGGCATTTGCTGTGGTGTAAGGGGATTTGCCACATGTCCTGCTCAGCATCGGTGTCACGTGGCACACTGATCAGACCTGGCATCTAAAGAACACACTGAGATCAGCAGAGGAGCTGCTGCAAAGAGCTGGCTGGCAGGGGGATCCCAGCTCTTTCCATGAAGGTTTGCTGATGCTCACAGGAGCTCGATTCTGGTTTTCTCTCTGTGTTCAGGGCAGTTTTAGTGTCTTTTGTAAATCCAGTGATTTGCTGCTCCTCATGGATGGACACACAGCTCCAGCACTGGATGTGCATGAGCCTGGGAAGCCAGCTGGAAGGAATGGGGTGGTGAAGCGGCTGCAGTATTAACTTGACACCTAATTATGTCCCCTGGGCTGATTTTTCCATTCTGTCATGCCCTGCTCTGTCTGCACTTTCTGTGAGTGTGGGGTGCTGTGAAGCTCTCCATATCCAGCCATGCTCTGGCAGACATTTAAGATGAAATTATCAGTTGTAAAAGCTCTCCTGTCTGTGCCACCAAAAGTAGCATCTCCTTGATGTATATATTTCCTTAAACCAAGCAGGATAGGTTAATTCTGTATAGATTTGAAAGACAGTATTTATTCCAACTCTTCTGGAATGGGATTTCACACCACAGTTCCCATAGGAGTTGCCATGGAACCTTCACTGTCTCTGACCAGAACTGGCTTTTTATGACCTGATTCATATTCTGGCATTCCCTTGTTGAAGCAGGAACACCTCTGACCAGTTTCCACATCGACTCCTGAAGTTCAGTTTCCTACAGGCTTTCTTCCCTAAGGAGGAGCTGAAGCCAGGGCCCGGGTGGGAGCAGTTAATGGCAGCTGCCAAGAGCACAGGTCTGTACTAACCGTGGCTGTTGTTGTTCAGTGCCCCAGGTCCTCAAGAGCTGCACGGAGTTCATTGAGAAGCACGGCATTGTGGATGGGATCTACCGGCTCTCCGGGATCGCCTCCAACATCCAGAAACTCCGGTAAGGGCCTGCCTGGGGGCAGGGCACAGCCTGGCTTCCTCTGCAGATTCATCCTGCAGGAAGCTTCCCTGCAGGATAAAGCATAAGGATCCTGGTGTCACTGTGCTGCCATCTTCCATTTCTGTTCTTTCTCTCTCCAGGAGCCCTTTGGAGCAGCCAGTGTTTCTCCCTGCTGCCTTGGGCTCCTGGCTTACCAGCAGTTAATTGGGAATGTGCAAAGGATGCATGCCTGAGTCTGGTGGGGGGCATTGCTGTGCTGCACAGGGAAGGGCCAGGAGTGTTCTGGTTAGGAGCTGTTCCCACCACAGCAAACTTCCTTTCTTCTTTCATGAGCCTGTTGTCCTCCTGTCGTTTGGTGTAGAATGTTGTGCTGTGGAGCATTGATGTGCTGAGTGGATGGGACTCACCAGCACTGCTCCTGGGCCCACGGCCTGGCCAAGGCAGCACAGGGCTATTTGCCATGGGCAGAGTATCTTTTTTGTACCAGCTATCCCCCAGTTCAGTGGGCAGGTTTGAGCTGGTACAGGGACTGTTCAAACCCTTGGATGGATGGGTTTGTTCTGGTTCAGATTAATCCTGTTCCTTTATTCCCTATTTTGCCTTGTGCTGGACCATCCATATAATCTCTGCCCTAGTCCATTTTTTTCCTTTTGTGTTACCAAGACCACTTTCTCCTTCATTGTGTATCAAGGTGCTTTAAAAATGGTTTTCTAAAATTGTAATGGCATCGTTCCCTGTTGTAGTGCAGAGAATGAAGTGACAGCCTGTTTTCCAGGTTTCTGAGATGTTCCAAAAACAAAAGGAAGGGAGTACATGGCATAACTTATTGACACTGTCCTGTTCATGTAAATCCCTACAGATTTTGAGTGTTTGATGAACATAAGACACATCTTGCTGCAGTTCCCAGCTGTATAAACAGGGCATTAGGCTCATTCCAAAGCTGGGGCTGTAGTATCCTTATAAATGAATCACTGTGCTTAGATTTCCCATAGAAGATCTGGATCTCCTGGATTTAAAAGGCTTTTTGGTTGGAGAGAAGGTTAGAGAATTTATTCCCCATGGGAGATTTCCATGGGACAGATGTTGGCTCTTCAGTAGGGCAGTAGCTGCCTTTATTTGGCAGATGGGCAAACAGCCACCGTTGATTTGGGGTGTTGATCCCTGTATCCTGGTATCCTGGCTCTTTTTGCGAGGCTGTGGAGTTGTTCTTCACCTAACAAAATCTTCCTTTGGGTCAGAAGGAATAACATGTAGCTCTGGAACCAGCCAGTGCAGACAGGAGGAGGATTGAATGTGGTGGGGCATTCCTCTCTTCCCTCCATATTCACTTCTGCAAGGGAACATTTGACAGAGTGTGAGCTTTACTCCTAGGAAAAACCACTGGAGTAGGGCAGGATATGGGCAGGGAGTTTGAGCCAGGGCTGAGTGTGTCTGTGTGGGGTGGGCTGGTGCCTTCCTGGGCTTTCTGTAGAGCCAAACGCAGGAGCTGAGTTTCTGTCCTAGATGTGAGCAAGGGATGAGTCAGAAGGTGCCTGTGGAAATGGTGTTGCTGGACACTGGGCATGTGGAAAATTGAATTCTTCCTTTCCTCCTCTGCTGTCTTCAGGGTGAGGAAGGGATGGGCTGTTCACCCTCAGAAGGTGGGGACCACTCCTGCCCCTTTTCTGGTGGGAGTGAAAGGCTTCCCATGAGCAGTGTCCATGTCCAGGAATGGAAGGAGTCCATCCTGATTCCAGGAGGGCTCAGCTACAAACACACCTGGAGCCCTGGGCATGTTCTGCTCTTCAGGCAGGGTGAGCTCAGGGGTTGTGTGACCCTCTGGGCACAACCTGCCAGCTTTGGGTAGGGGACAGGACAGGGACAGGGATGGGCCACTTCACCCAGCCCACTCACTGTGGTTGCAGTGCTGGCAGGATGAGTCCCCATGGCTGTGAGCAGCCTAAAGACTCTGGCAGGGACCTCAAGGTTCTCCAGCTCCCAGAGCCTGGCTCACAGCTCTCATCGCCCTGGAGTGTCCTGCTAATTGGAAACAGCACTTCCCAGCATATATGCCAGCAGCAAGCCAGCCCTCAGCCTTCTGAGCTCAGCTTTTATTTCATAAACATTGGTGATTGGGGTTTTTTTCTCTCTCTGAAAACCAAGGGAGTGCTATGGGGTTTTCTTCATGTGGTTCCTGGCTGTCTTCTCCCTGTAGCAGAGGCAGGCTCAGCTCACCAGCTCATCCCCCAGGAATTCCTGCACTCACTGGTTTCCATGTGCTGCTGCTGGAAGTGCTGCTGGCAGGGCTTTATCATTGCCATTTCCAGGCCTTGGAAATGCAGAGGGACAGCAGCTCTCATCGTTCCTATGGGCAATCCCAGTCACAGCCCTTGGGAGTTAAACTTGTGGTCTTGGAAGATGTTCTCTGGAGACTTTGCAAAAAGCCCTGATGCAGCAAAAGGGATTGCAGCCAGTTGGTTGTAAAATTAACTGAAAATGCTTTATTAGAAAAAGGAAAAGTCTCTTTTTTGAAAAATATCCCCGCTGGCTGCCCCACAGTCGTGGGTCATGTGGTTTTGGTGACTAAGTGTTTATTTTTTCCTGTAAATCAGGAAAGCCTTGCTGTAATTTGTGCTGGGTTTGATTTCATTCCTCCTCCTCAGAACCCTTTACCCATTTCTCCGTTCTCATTTGCCAGCCACGAGTTTGACTCCGAGCAGATTCCTGACCTGACCAAGGACGTTTACATCCAGGACATCCACTGTGTGGGCTCCCTGTGCAAGCTGTACTTCCGAGAGCTCCCCAACCCCCTGCTCACCTACCAGCTCTACGAGAAGTTCTCTGTGAGTGTCAGGCAAATGTGGGGCACTTCCCCCTTCAGTGGGCCTTCAGCTGGTAGAGCAGAGAAATCCTGGAAGCTGGACCTGCCTTCCACACACTTCCCTCTCTGTCTGCTCTGCCTCAGTTGGGGTTTTTAGAGCCATCAGAAGGGTGTGTCACCAGAATTGCCAGCCTGACACTGTGCTGCCCACACTTCTGATTCCACCCTGCCATTCCAGGAGGGGCTGGCAGTGCCCTGGGGTCTGAGGGACCTTTTCTGTGTCCCCTTTAAGTCACTCAGAGGTGCGTTTGTCCCCTCTGCCACACTGTGTTGGTTCCACTTGAGGGGCCACAGCAGATGGTCCCTGGCACAACTCCCATGCTTTGCAGGAATTCCCCTCTCGTTTGCCATTTCCCAGGAATTGGAAGCAAATACTGCTCTGAGCTGAATGTCTTCTGCAGAAATTCTCTGTGCCATTAACATGCCCCAGGTCATGGCTTACTTGCCCTTCCTTACATGATCCATATGCTGCTCTGTCCCCAAGACAGAATCCCCCTACCTAAGGGGGAGAAGAGCAACAAGACCCACCTGACTGCCAAGGCTGGGGATTTATTTGCAGCTAAATCCTTTCCTGCCTCATTCCAGGATGCTGTTTCTGCTGCTACAGATGAGGAAAGGCTGGTTAAGATCCACGATGTGATCCAGCAGCTGCCTCCTCCCCACTACAGGTGAGTGCAGCCTTTGGGGTGTTGTGGGCATTTTGTGAGAGGAATTCTGTAATTCCAGTTTCCCTCTCAAGACAGCCACACTGTGCCTCTGCATATTGAAATGGTTATGGCTGTCAAAAGTTGGTTTATATTTTAATTAGCTCCTTACTAAACACTGTCCACTAAACATGGTCTTACTTCAGGTCCTTAGAAACTCCATCGAGGAGGGAAATAGGAGCTTGTTAGAGTAAGGAAACAGTTTTATTGTAGGGGGGTACAATACCAGTGCTAAGAGCACTTTAAAAAGAAGTGAAATATAGCCAAAAAATTGCTCAGGCCTTCAGCCAAACTTGGTCAACTGTATTTTGTCTCCAGTTTGCCCCTCCCTGCAATAATAGTAATTAGCAAATAACAACAATGCTCTCAGAATAACTGATGTAATTAATTATATTAGTGTAATGTATTAGAGTAGCATAATATGGTGTTTAAAAATCACCAATTAAAATACTATATTCAAGCTAATTAGTAGTAATAAGAAATTGTGCTATATAGTAATGAGTCTTGACTTAGAACAACATTTTAACAGTCTTTAGTATTAAAAATTATGGCAGGGTATGGTGAAAAGGTATCAGACAAATTGGCATTGATGATTGGCTTTAACAGCTATATAGAATACTGTATGTTAATGAGACTTTAATAGTAATAACTAGTGATGCATGGTATGCAGCATTCACTAATTGTGAATTGTAAGTGGTAGAAATAGCTAATGACAACATATGGTGGAAGTTATTTACAGATAGGCAACTATTTTAATTGGCTGGGCCAGCTCCCCTGATGTGTCCCAGTGGTTTAGGTAAGTGACCATTTGGGGTGAATGCAGGCAGCATTTGGCTATTGATGCCTAATTAGAATATTTCATTACAATCATCAATTGATTTTTGTAATGTATGTTAATGTATGTTAATCTACAGGTGAAGTCAGAATTCTGGTCTGAGGGGTCAGGTGTAACACATGAGGACGGCTACTGATAACTATTTGTAGTCATTTCTGCCAATAAATGTTTTAAGTTTCAGTTACTGTGATGTGTGGTGATTAGCTGGACAATTGCAATGCTGTAATGAGTGGTATAAATAACTAATTATAAAAGTTAACTGGGATTTAACTGATGTGTTATAAACTACAACTGTGTTACTTGCTCTTCAAATAAGGTTGGCTAGTTGGTGCAACAGCTGCTGCTTCTAGTAACTAATTTCAATATTGATGTTAATTGAGGGGGTGTGGCCCTTTAAAAAATAAACTGATCTCTTTCTTTTCCTTTTCATTCACCTTTTCCCCTGAAATGATTTTTAGTTTATGGGGCTGGTTAAACTGGGTTCTGGTACCAGCAGCATGTGAGTCTCAGAGAGGGGGCACAGCCAACAGCAGGATGTGGAATGCTGTAGGTCACAGGGTGCTGCTCTCCTTTCCTGGGGTTTGCTTGGAAAAAGGAAAAAACACTTCATTTTTCTGCTGCTCAGTGATGAGAATTGCAGGCAGGAGGTGTCTGTTTGGTTTCCAGACAGAGCCATTTTCTTTACTTCCAATCTTGTCTATTTGTGGAATTTTGAGCCCCAAAACACCCTCTCTGTTCCATCTCCCTTCCCCCCAAAAAGAATAGGCTGTGAGACAGACACAAACCAGAGGCACCAGGAGGGTTCAGCAGCATTTTCACTGCCACCTCCTGCTCCCTCCTCCCTAGTATATATCAAACTTAATATACAAATCCCACCATTTTTTAATATGAACAGAAGCCTCTGAAGTTTAACCTTCTATCTGCCTTACCAACCCTGAGAAACCTACAGCCAGTATTTTCATTGTTCTGGGGTGTCTAAATCAATACTCCCCCATCCCAGGATTAGCATTCCACATCCTTCCCCACACATCCCTGAGCAGCCCCTCACAGCTGTCACACACCTGCAAAGGGTTTTTCCTGGAACTGTCCTTTCCTTGAGCCTGGACCAGTCAGGAGAGACTCCCCTCAGCCCAGGCTGTGTCAGCATTGCCAAAGCCAGCTCCACGGTGGGGCTGAGGGGAACGAGTTCAGCATTCCTTTCTGGGGGCTGTCAAATCACAAGGAAATAATGAGCTGGGTTTGTGCTGTGGATCACAGCCTGGCTTTGCTCAGTGGTGCTGAACATTTGCCTCTCTCCTGTTTTCCAGGACACTGGAGTTCCTAATGAGACACTTGGCTCGTCTGGCTGATTATTGCTCCATCACAAATATGCACACCAAGAACTTGGCCATTGTGTGGGCTCCAAACCTCCTCAGGTACTTTGGGATTTTCCCATTTCAATAGAATATAAATGTTTACATTTATAAGCAACAGATACTACAGAAAATCCCAGCTTTCAGCAGCTGGAAAGAGCTCTTCCTCTCTTCACCAGTGCACTCTTCACCTCCTGTAAAATATGGGAAATTATTCTAAGCAGGATTTAAGATGGGCTGGCAAGTTCCTGGCCTCGTGATGCAAAACAGCCCCTGTGTTATCCTGTCACACACAACACAGTTCCACTGGCTGCAGTCTTGTCAGTAGTAACAAGGAAGAATTCCCTGAACCCTCTTTTAGAGGATAATTTCTCTTCTCTTGGTTAGATGAGACTGATGTGTCCTTGATCATCCAGGAGAATTTCTACAGTGGCATCACTGATTTCCCACTGCATAAGTCTCTAGAGTCTAATTTGACAGCTTTTGGCTGCAAGAATTCAAACTTACAGAAATTGACTTGGATAAATCTGTTTTGAATCTGGATGATAGGGCACTTTAATGGTGTAACTAAAAATTTTTGCTTTAAAAGAAAAAAATATTATCCTCCTGCCCTTTATTGTACTGATTTCTCACCTGCTGTTGTTACCAACCTGAGAAATCTGAGTGTGCAGTTCATCATGGAATCCCAGAAGGGTTTGGGTTGGGAGGGATATTAAAGCTCATCTAGTGCCACCCCTGCCATGGGCAGGGACACCTTCCCCAGGTTGCTCCAAGCCCTGTCTGATCTGCCCTTGGACACTCCCAGTTCATGCAGGTGGGCTCCTCTTTCTGGCAATTCTCCCACAAGCAGTGGAGTGACCTCATGTTTGAGTTTGCCTTGGTGAGTCCTGGAGCATTCACTCAGTAGGATCAGGTGGAGACACTCCCTGCTTGGGGGAAAATCCTCTTAGAGGCCACAGCAGGTTTATACAACAGCACTGCCTTGAACTGTGCCAGTCATGGAAATGAGTTAACAAAAAGCTCTTGATTTTGGCTGTTCAGCGTATTAACCTCAATTCAGACCTCTCCCACACTCCCTTTTCCTCCCAGCCCAGTGTTCCTCTTGCCCCATCAATAAGGCTTGAACCTGGATCTGAAGTTTGGCCATAAATCCCCACAGTCAGTGATCATTTGTGAGCGTTGCTGAGATTTAACCCCACGAGTGCCCTGAAGGCCTTTGTGGCTGAGCCCCAGGCCCTGCAGCCCCACAGGTGCCCAGGCCTCGCCCAGCAGGAGCCTCTTCCCTGTGCTGTGTCCCTCTGCAGGTCCAAGCAGATCGAGTCCGCCTGCTTCAGCGGCACGGCCGCCTTCATGGAGGTGCGGATCCAGTCGGTGGTGGTGGAGTTCATCCTGAACCACGTGGATGTGCTCTTCAGCTCCAAGCTCAGCTCCGTCATCCGCGAGGGGGCAGGTGTGTCTCGGGCTGCTTCCCTCGGGCAGGAGCAGCAGCGCTGCACGGCTGAGCTCCTCTGGGACATGGACGTGGCTTTTAGTTTAACCTAGAGGACACATTTCTGGGTTGGGATGCCAGAGCCCAGACAGAGATGGCCTGCTTTTAGAAATTGCTGTCAGTACCTTTCTTAAAAGCCACAGATGCCCCACAAGAATGCAGACATGAATGTTTTCTATGTTCTGCCACTGAGAAATTGCAAGGAATCATTTAAATCTTTGTCTCTCCTGCTCCCTCTCCTTTTTAAAACCATCTTTTCTGCTGCTCCTGCATACTTACCCATTGGAGCTAAGTCTGTCTGCCCTCATCCCTACCTTAGAACACAAATAGAACAAGCTGGTGTAAAGCAGTCTCTCTGCATTCAGTCATGTTGAGGCTAAGAAACTGAAATCTTGCACTTGCTCAGGCTGATGTTGCTTTAGGATGAGGAATGAAGCTGGAGCACCTGATATGTCATCCAGCCTTGGAGCCTACAAATTCCCTTGAGTAGCTGAGACCATGTTATCTTTTCCATTGAGAAAGAGCAGAGCTGCACCAGGAGGAAAGTTTACTTTCTGTGTTAGTATGGCTGCCACAAGCTCTTCCTGCTCCTAAGCAGCATTAAGGCTGCACCATCTGCCTTGATAACCTACCTGTGCCTGAAACATGCACAGCTGCTGCAGTTAGCACCACCTGGGGACTGCAGAGAGCTGTGCTTCCACTGTATTTGCTGCTCCCTTCTTTTAAACAAACCCTACATCTGCTTAGGCTGGCAGAGTTGATCCAAGTCCAGCTTTTTCTCCTACTGTAGTGCAGTTCTAAGTCCATGGAAGCCAGAGGTTAGCTTGGCTGAGCAGTGCCAGCCCCAGCAGGCTGACTCTGCCAGGGGAAGGAAGATAAGCATGCTCAGAATCCCAGCCAGATGATTATCCAGGCTTAGAATGGCCCATGTAAATTCAGCTAATTGTTTAATGACTTGGTCATTTGCATTCAGTGGCTTTGACACAGACCTGGCAGGGAGCAGGGTCAGGCTGTTGGGTTGGCTAAGTGCAGGAGTTCTGCATTCCAGAACGGCTTCCTGGGAGCCTCTGGGTGTGAGCACAGCTCCTGCACCCACTGGTGAGACAGGCAAATGGTGCTGCCAAACCTGTTTTAACCCAAACTTGACCCAGGACAGCTGAGTGATGTTTACAGCTCCTACACCCCCCTACAGACTCTGCATCCTTCACACAGAGCTGTGCTGCTCCAGGGACAGCCATGGAACTGGACCAAGCAGGATATTCTGCACTGATACAACTCCCCCAAAGCCTGAACTCACCTGGGAATCACCCTAGAAACACCTGTACCAGAGGCAATGGCAGACACAAGGAGAGCTGCTCCTACAACAGACTCCCTGTAATCTCTCCACTGAAGCTGTCAGCAGCAGGAGGCAGCAGCAGCTGCTTTCAGATTTTGGACATTTATCACCAAAACCAGGCACAAGCTCTAAAGGCCACAGGCAGGCCACACAGCAGATTCTGTTTGCTGTGTCCAGGTTTACTTTGGCTCGTAGCAACTTCAGTCACACGTGGCATTTCCTGCTACACCGAGGTGAAATCTGGGAATGACCCAGACAGGCTTTATACAAAGGAAAAACATCATTTTCTTTACAGGCTCTTGCATACAGATGAAGGAAAGTGTGTCACAAAGGTTTCCATCCTACCTGCTTGCCTCTGCTTTTTCTTTTTTTTAATACACTAAGCCATCATTCTTTTAGTCATCAACATATCTGTGACATTGTGATCACATTTTGTCCACATCTTTCAATGGCTGGGATAACAAATGTTCAGAAAAACACAGCACCTCCCTAGACACACAGAGCTGAGCTTTGATCTCTGCACTGCCTTTGCTGACTCTCCCTGTTGCCTGTGGTTTTCCCTTGCAGGGCACAGCTCTTTATCCCGGCCCAAGTCTCTGCTGGTGTCCTCCCCCTCCACGAAGCTGCTCACGCTGGAGGAGGCTCAGGCACGGACACAGGCCCAGATCAACTCTCCCATCGTGGCAGACAGCAAGTACATCGAAGTGGGAGAAGGCCCAGCAGCTTTGCAGGGGAAATTCCACACAGTCATTGACTTCCCATCTGAAAGGTAGAGACAGGTTTCCTCTCCAGCGTGTGTCATAACGGTGTTATTTTGAGTACAGCAGGAATTTGCTTATGCTGACTTGAGACTTGTTATATATGTAAATATTGTGGCCAGTTTTCCACCTGCTTTTGATTCTGGGAGGATTCAGCTCGTATCAGTGGTGTTGGTTTAGCCAAATAATTTGTGCTCCACTCCCTCTTGTTTTCACCAGGGATATCATTTAATGTATAAATCCATGTTGTCTGTGATGCAGAGATGCCTGGACCAGTCACACACAGAAATGTAAACAGGGTGAACACCTGCAGATGTTGGGGTTTTCCAGGACTAAGTGCTCTTCACAAATCCAGGTTCCCTTGAAATGGAGCAGTTGGACAGGCTCAAGGACACTGGAAATTAAATATGGTAGTGGAGGAGACTAAGGTGGTTTTAAAGCAGGAGTGAGAGATGCTTTTGAACACCTTTATGGCTGCCCAGCTTCCCAGAGAACTGGGGCTTCTTCCAGAAAATTCATCCCTTGGCTGCTGGACTGGACAAGGAAGAGCCTTTCCTCACCTGCACTGCAGCTGCTTTGTGGAGTTTGAGGGAATTTACACAGCAAGACTTTAGGGCTGAGCTGGAAGAAAGAAAACATCCTCAGCTGGGAAAAGAGGGAGGTTCCAAGCAGAAACCTGGAGTTACTGAGCAGAAAGCAGAGTGCTGATAACAAGCAGCCAGGATTGAGCTGCAGCCCACCCTCCATCCATGTGTTCCATTTTCTCTCCCCAGGAAAAGGCCTCCCAGCAAGATGAAGAAGTCTCCAGTGGGGAGCTGGCGTTCCTTCTTCAACCTGGGAAAATCCTCCTCCGTGTCCAAGCGCAAACTGCAGCGCAACCCCAGCGAGCCCTCGGAAATGAAAGCCATAGCCCTGGCAGGTGAGGCCCCCTTCCAAAACCCGGGATTGTCAGCAGTGCAGAGTGATGTTTCCAGTGGGCTTTTATCTCCTTCTAGCGTCCAAGCCGTGCATGACATCTCCAGTAGCTCTTCTTTCCAATGGATCTCGGGCAGCTCTGGAGCCTGCCAGGGCTCATAGCTCTGTGCTTTGCTTGGAACAGCTTTGGAAAGATAAGATGTGGCTGCTGCTATCACAAGTCACAGGATAATTCCTTCTGACACTCTCATTATGAAATGAGAATACAGTTCTCATTCCCGTTGCTGCTCTCAGAAGAAGAGGGAAAGGCACCTTCCCACAAACACATTCCCTCCAAAAGCTGTACCAGAGTACCCAGAGAAGGCAGCCAACAACCGTTTGTAGTCACAGCCAGATTATGTAGGTGGAATTCTCAACCTTTTCCATATATAATTTTCTGTTTCTTTCCAAACTTAAAAATAGCAACAACATGTTTTTGCAGTAAAACACATCACAAATCCCAAAATATGGGCCTGGGAGAACTTTTATCCCCTCATCTCCGAAGGTCGATCTTTAAATTCTTACCCTCACAGCCTTCACACTCGCTTATGATGCCCTTCAGGACTGTCTGAGGAGACTGAAATTATACTTGTTTGGTGCCCATAAAACAGGGTCTGAAATGTTCCTTCCTTCCCCCTTTTTGAGGGGTTTTACTTGTGGGAAATTGTTTCCCATCCTGTCACCTGCAGCAGTCATCGCTTGGGTTGGTCACTGTTTTCCGGTAAAATGAGAATCAGAAACCCACCTTCAAAACAAGATTACTCTCCAGACAGTGATGTTGGTGCTAGAAATGCATTTGTGTTTTTCCTGCCACCGTTACCCAGCTAAATGGAAACCCCTTTCCTAACTGATCCCTGTGTGGTTCCTTCCTTCAGGAGGACGAGGAGACAGCGGGACGCTCCGCTCGGCCAAGAGCGAGGAGTCCCTCACCTCCCTGCATGCTGTGGATGGTAAGGCAAAATCCTACCTGCACTTCCAAGAAATGAGCATTAAGGGAGGCACTTTGACATCTCTGGCTGTAGATATTTAACAGGGCAGGTTTTCCACTGCTCCAGGGGAAGCTGAACTTGCTAAGTAATGAAGCAGCTTTCTGCTCCCAGCACAGATGAGTCTTACAGAAATGCTCTTCATGGCTTTTCCTGCTTTTAAGGTCTAAAAAAGCAAACCTCTTGCTCTGGTGTAGTTGACGCTGCTTATGTTCATTCCTTGGCTCCTCCCCTTGCTATTTCAAGCTTGACATAACAGCATTGTGGAGGAAAGTGCTCTCTGAGAAAGGCCTTCAGCACATTCAAAGTGTCTTTGCTTGTGCTCACAGCTTAGTTTCACACTAAATCATGCCTGGCAAGTGCTGTAACAGAGTTTAAGCAAATGGAATAAGCAGTCACTGCCAACGATGTTACTTTGTGTGCAGAGATCACCAGGGGAGCCTCTCGCTGCCTTAGGACTGCTCTGACCACCCCCACCCCCGACTGGGCCTGGCCTCCTGGGCAGGAGGTCTTGTCACTGACCCATGGTGTCTCCTCACTTCCAGGTGAATCCAAACTGTTCCGGCCCAGAAGGCCCAGGTCCAGCAGCGATGCCCTGTCTGCCTCCTTCAACGGGGAGCTCCTGGGGAACATGAACCGCTGCAACTCCTACGACAACCTCCCCCATGACGACAGCGACGGGGATGAGGGGCTCATCCACGTCCCTGCCCTCATCTCTCCCCGCTCTTCGGAGGACGTGGACCTCAGCCCGCCAGACATCGGCGTCGCCAGCCTGGACTTCGACCCCATGTCCTTCCAGTGCAGCCCCCCCCAGGCAGAGTCCGAGTGCCTGGACAGCAGCACCTCCCTGCTGGAGTCCGTGGATACCAATAAGGAGAAGCCAAGCCTGCTCAAGAAGGATTTAGAATCAGGCAGCCAGTCCCAGACCCCAGGCAGTGCCACAAGCTCTGAGCCAGTGTCCCCTTTCCAGGAGAAGATGAGTCCCTTCTTTACGCTGGACCTGAGCCCCACAGAAGAGCAGGCCTGCAAACCCCTCAGCTTCTCACCCAAGACAACCCGAAAGCCCATCAAATCTCCACCACTGAGCACAGAACCAATGTCCTTTGTGCTACCCAGCCGTGTGCCAGAGGCCATGGGAGGAGTGCCCAGCACATCCAGGAACTCCTCTGCTTCCAGCTGGAGCAAAGAGATTGGCATCACTGAGATCACAAACAGGTCCCCAACCCAGATGTCCTTGCCCCTGAAAAACAGTGAAACAGGAACAGGGGAAGGAGCCCACCAAGAGCTGCAGCATCCCCAGCTAGTGACTGCTTGCAAAGCAGAGTTGCCAGAAGAAGGGGAGAGAGCCATGCCAAGCAGTCAGAATAAGACTGTACCCAGTGGACACACCCAGCCAGGTACAGTGCATTTTCCTCCATTCTTTCTTTAAGTTCCAAAGGGGAGCTGCTCTCAGAACCGTCCTCCTCTGCGTGCCTTTAGGAGAGGGGATTGCCCGTCAGTTCTGGTCACGAGTGTCTTGCAGGGCTGTGCAGATCAGTAAAGTCTTAACCTCTGCCTTCTCCCTACATCACACAAATCTCGGATAATTTCCATAATGCTTTATATTCCGCTTTTTTTTTCCCCATCCTCTCATACGTGAAAATCTCTAGCATGTCCTTCTCAATCATTTCAGCCAATAGACCATCTAAGACTTTTCCTTTTTTAAATTAAAAATCTGCCAACACTCGAAGAAGGGACCTTTCCGCCTAAAACCTTATGATCAAAATTGTGTAAGGGTATCTCATTCTCTGCTACCTCCTTCCTACCTCTAGAAATGCAAGAGGAGCCTTTAGACAATCTCTTGGGTTTTTTCCTCTTTGTGATGAACTGCTGTGCTGTCCAGCAGCGTTTGCCTGTGAGACACAAGTGTTTCACATCAGAAGGAGCTGCCACTGTGAAAGTGTGGAGAGCATCTATTTTTTTATAATAGTCGTTAAGGTCACTCTCCTTATTGGGTAACATAAAATCACTCTCTCTCTCAATTTTCCCCCCATTAGGAGCAGTTGCCCTCGACTCCCCCCAGGATCCTGTTCCCGTCAGTTCTGTGTCTCTTATCCCTCCTCCTCCTCCGAAAAACGCAGCGCGCATGCTGGCCCTAGCGTTAGCCGAGTCCGCACAGCAAGCATCCGCCCAGTCCCACAAAAGGCCAGGAGATGCTCATGCTGAAAGCACAAATTATGGAGAGGCTGAAGCTGGCACAGCTCTAGAAAAGCTCCATCTCTCTGCGGGCGCTCCCGACAAGCTCCACCTGTTCACTGCTCTGCCCGAGAACCGCCTGCACTTCCAGCCCGGGGCACCTTTAGAGCAGGACTGCCAAGGCACGGCCGGGGAGCAGAACCACCCGCCCGGCGCACCTGGAGGCCAAGAGCCCCCGCCTCTCCACACGGGCATGCCTGGGGACACGCCTGGCAGCAGGGATGCGGAGCAGGAGCAGTCCAGCTTCCACCTCAGCAGAGCGGGGGACAAGGAGGCCTTCCCGGCCCACGTGGGGGACTGGGAGCATGCGGCCCTGCACGGCCCAGGGACACTGCCGGAGCGGGAGCTGCCCGGCACGGAGCAGGCTGTGGAACAGCCCCACCTGCGCGCGGGCCTGGCTGGGGACAAGCTGCACGCTCCCTGCACGGCCGAGGACAAGCTGCAGTCTCCCTCCGTGGGTCCTGCTGGGGACAAGGGCGCCCCAGCCGCGGTGCCGTACCTGAGCACCCTGCCGGGCACAGAGCCCCGTGCCCCGCCCGGGGCCACCCCCCAGGCAGATGTCACCGTCCCGCCCGCGCCGCGCGCGGCCACGGCCCCGGCACAGAGACAGGAGCACCAGGCAGCCGTGGGACAGGTGCCAGCGGCCAAAGCACCCAGCGGCTCTGGGCAGGTACGTGCTGCTCCCTGCACAGCTCCTCTGGAATGCTGAGCACTGGGAATGTTGGTCCAAATCCAAATGGCAAGGGGGGGGAATTGCAGGAAACTGGGAGTGATGTGGGTATGACACAGACACAGCCTTGCAGGAAATCCTGTGCTGCTTTCCTAAGGGAGCATTCCGTAGGAGAATACCCACTCACCTTGGTTTTAAGGAAAAAAGTATTTGCAGGGGCAGGTGACAGAGGGATTGATAGTTCAGAATGCTCAAAATGAAGAATTTTTGCATCCTCTGAAAGGGTCCTCTTCCAGCGTCCTGGTTAGGTTCTTGTCCAGTCAGCAAAAGGATGAGAGGACACAGTTTTAAACTGCACCAGGAGAGGTTTAGGTTGGGCCACAGGAAGAATTTCTTCACGAAAGGGTGAGTAGGTGCTGGAAGGGGCTGCCCAGGGAGCTAGTGGAGTCCCCATCACTGGAGGTGTCCAAGGAGCAACTGGACATGGCACTTAGTGCTCTGGGCTGGTGACAGGGCGGGGATTGATCTCAGGTAGGACTCCATGGTCTCAGAGGTCTTTTCCAAACTCTTTGATTCTGTGATTCTGTTAAACAAAGCAGGTCAGATTGCTTGTGCAGGATTGAAAAATTTCCATCAGAAATCTAAAGCCCGCAGCCCATGAAACACGCCTGGCTGCAGCCCATCCTAAGCCCTGCAGCCACATTTAAGTCAGGAATTTCTACTTTACTGCACTTCTTGATCTGCTCACCAGGGCCTGAGGAGGCTGAATCCAGGAACATTTTCATTAACATCAGACTTTTAAAAGCAGACCACCTAAGGAAACACTGAGGATAATGCATGAGGAGACAGTCACCTCCTCCCCTCCTCTGGTTTGGCATTTGCAGAACACACCAGTTGTGATGGGTCCCTAAAAACTGCCAGTGGCATCACGCCTTCCCATGCTGAGAGAGGGAACCTACATGTCTGTCAGTGCCCAGCAAACAGAAACCAGGCACAGATACGCTGGAATGGAGCTGATCTGTACAAGTGTCTGGGATGTTCTAACTACAGAACAGCAGAGAAAAAGCTGCTTGTCCCTAACTTTGTCTGCTTTCTTCCCTGCAGATGTGGAACACAGCTACACCTGAAAAGCCTCTGGAGCCCACGCCAGGCTTTGTCTCCGAGAACAGTTCCAGTGCCCGTGGCTCCTCTTCCATGCCTGCAGGCCACCAGAGCCACTTGGAAAAGCCTCGGGAGAGCACGAGGGCTCCCCCTCTGCACCTGCGCTCTGAGTCAGTCCCTGCCCCCTCCTCCTACAGCTTCACCCCGCCCGTGCCACCCGTGAGGACACTGGAGAGCAAGATCGCCGCGGCCATGCACTCCAACAACACGGACACCATCAACAACTCCAACTACCACTCCTTCCTGGCCTCCTCCATGCTGGCATCCTCCGTGGAGGAGGCGCTGCTGCCGCCGCCACCGCCGCCGCCTCCCAAGCACTCGTCCCTGCCGCCGGTGTATGTGCCGCACCCCAAGGCAGAGAGCCTCCCCGAGCCCGTGGCGCCTGACAGCTACCTGCACACCAAGCACCAGTACCGGCCCGAGAGCGTCCCTGCCCACAGCTACCACGGCAAGGCCGAGCAGCACCAGCCCTACCCGCCCCGCCCGGAGCCTCCCGTCACCGCAGGCGCGCGCTACGGCTCCTACGGCACGCAGGGCAAGGGCTCTGCCACGGGCCTGCACCCCAAGCCCCGCAGCCGCACCGACTTCGTGTCCTCCGTGAGCTCCACGGGGCTGCGGGGCACCGGCTATGCTGAGGAGGCCCCCCCGTACCCCACCATCCGCAGGGTGCAGTCGCTGCACGTGCCCGGCCCAGCCGCCGCCGCCGCCATCCGCTCCGTGCCCATCTCCCGCACGGAGGTGCCCCCGGACGACGAGCCCGTGTACTGCCCGCGGCCCCTGTACCAGTACAAGCCGTATCAGCCCCACTCCGACTACCACGTCACGCAGCTCCAGCCTTACTTTGAGAACGGGCGGGTCCATTATCGCTACAGTCCCTACTCCAGCTCCTCCAGCTCCCCCTTCTACACCGCAGCCAACGCGAGTTTCTATGACCTGGATCCCTACAGCACCGTGCGGGTCCGGCCCTTCCACGGCCTGCCCAGCCGCGAGTTCGGCCCCTACGTGTCCCGGCTGCAGGGCAAGGGGCTGTACCGCTACCCCAGCCTGGCCGCCTACCCCCGGGCAGGGCTCATTAACCACCTGGGCAAAGAGCACAGCTTTGTGAGCAGGGACGTGCCCCCCGCCCCGGACATCAAGCACATGTACATGTCCTGGGACCTGGAGGACATGGAGAAGTACCGCATGCAGTCCATCCGCCGCGAGAGCCGCACGCGCCAGAAGGTCAAAGGGCCCCTCATGTCCCAGTACGACAACGTGGCCCCGCTGCTGCAGGACGAGCTGGGGGGCTTGGACGCCGTCCACCTGCGCAGCAAATCGGATCCTGGCAAGAGCGGCCTGCTGACAGTGGCAGAAGGGAAGGAGGGCAGGTACCCAGCCAAGGCGGCCACGCCTGAAGGGGACGAGCGTTACTACGGGCAGCACGCGGAGCCTGAGCTGGACCGAGCCCTCTATCACGGCGGGGGCTACGGGAACGGGCAGCCCGAGAAGCCGTCCTTGCCCCAGAAGCAGAGCAGCATCCGGAACAGGAAGATGCACGAACCAGGCAGCAGCAGCGGCGAGCACAGGACGTATTTGCAGCAGGAAGCCAACCATAGGCAGCCTTCTGAACCCAAAAATGGGCCCCCTTACCCTGAGTACAGGCCCAAGGGTGGCCCGGAGCCCTCTGAGCCCATGGGCTACCAGCACTCGGGCAGCAAGTACATCCCAGCCAGCCAGGAGACCCTGAGGCTGAACCACAAGGAGGGGAGGCTGGCAGAGGACAGGCCAGACCTGGAGAGGCCCCGAGGCAGAGCGTCCATGGAGAAGCACTCCAGAGACTGCTACAAGGAGGAGGAGCACGCCGCCCCTCCCGTGGCACCGCCACCCAAGCCCGAGCGGAGCCACAGCCTCCGGATGCGGGAGCACCCCGAGCCCATGGAGAGGGACTCTGCCCTGCTGTACCCCTACCAAACCCTGGGCAAGCGCCAAAGCACGATGACTGTGGTGTCCCAGTACGATAACCTGGAGGATTACCATACCCTGCCTCAGCACCAAAGAGGGGGCTATGCTGGAGCAGGGGGCTTTGTGCCCCCTGGCTTCCCCCACGTGCACAGCAGAACTTACGCCACGGCGCTGGGGCAGGGAGCCTTCCTCCCCACAGAGCTGTGTCTGCAGAGGCCCGAGACAGAGGTGCACGTTGAGTGAGCTCTGGGGGGGACGAGGGATAGAGTCTAAGCAGCCTCTGCTGGACAGTGGACTGTTTTATTTTTTCAGTGACAGTAAAAAACTCCCTGACCCTGCCCAAGTGAGCAAAGCAAAGCCCCCTCAGCCCTCCCCTGGCCCCCACTCACTGTTTTTATGTAGTAGAGCTATAGATTTTCATGTAGTTTTGAGTCACCTGGGAGGACAGGGCAGGCTGTTGGCACACAGGTGTTGCCAGAGGCCGAGCAGGGCTGACACAGATGCTGTTGGGACAGGGAGGGAAGGAGTTTTCCCTTCCCAGAAGTGACACTGGCTGCTCCTCCCCACGCCCGGGGTCCCATGTATGATGGGCTGTGCACAATGGACTGTGCCTGCAGCTCCATCCTGCTGCAAACTGCCCATCCCAGGCTGGCTCCCAGGAAAGGGCCGTGGAGGATCCTTGGAGTTACACAGAGAGAGTGGGGCTGGGCAGGGCTCCCCAGGGATCCTCTCCTTGCTGAGGCCCTGCCTCTCCTGTGGCTGCACCCACTGCAGCTGCTCTGAGCTGGGTGGGGGCCTGTTTTGATTTCAAGCCCAAGGAATAGGCTCTGAAGCCAGCTCAGAACACAACACACTCGTTACATTTCTTCCTTATTAACAAGCTGCTTCTGCCTACAAGAAGTCCATTTCCTTCACATTTCTCTGTTGTAAGCAGAGGCCAGCTGCAGGAGCCATGTAGGACAGGTTTGCATTTCCCACACCAAAAGAAATAAACCACTAAACTACACCAAACTCGACCCCCAGAGCTGGGAACAGCACACCCATTCCATGCCAGTCCTTCCTCTTTGCTGCAAGGTTATCTGTGGCCCAGATAAGCTCATTCCATCCTGTGGCTGGCAAGACTCTTGTCATCTCACTGCAAAAAATACTAAAAAAATAGATTTAAAAAAAAGTCTATAGGATTATGTAAATCAGAGCCCTCCTTGCCAGCTGTGTGTGGCAAGTTGTCTGCGTGAGCAGCTGCCCTGGGCCAGGTCCTGCAGCAATTCCATCAGGGAATGCTCCTGCTGAGCTGGAGGTCTCCAGACTCTCTGCAGCCTCAGAGTTCCTTGCTAGGCAGAGATCCCTGTGGAGTTGTGGCACACAGGGAGCAGTGATGTGCCCAGGTGCAGTTCCTCCAGGACTCAGTGAGTAGGAACAGAAGGCCAGTGCACTCTAAAATACACCAAAAACAGTGTTCAAGCTGTTGAAAAGCTTTGATATTGTAAAAACAGCCTGGCAGCCCCTCATGCTGCCTCTCAGACTCCCCAGGACTCACACCCCCTGTACAAATAAAGCACATCCATTCCATTAGGTAGGGCTTGCAAGCAATACTTGAGATTTAGCAGTTTTTAAATGTTCACTGATAAATTCCAAGGCCATTCCTGTTCCGTGTGGTTGAAGAACTTCTCTACCTGTTTCAAATCTCTAATCTTTTATGAAAAACCTGGAAGTCCTGCAGTTAGCACACAGGTGCTTAGGTGGGGCTTTTTGAACAAAAAGTTTCATGGCTATTTTGGGACTTTTAAATCCTAAGGAAAGCCTGCTTCTAGTTGCTGACTACTCTGTAGCTTTTTGCTTCCTTTAACCTTGGAGCCTTGTCTGGGGCTGTTTCAGTAACTACCTTCTGGTTATATTTTATTGTGCAATGCTGGTGTTTTAAGCATTTTGTTTAGAAGAGTTCTCACATGTTACGGAACGAAATCTGGCAGTAAGAAAAAAAGAAGAAAGAAAAAGAAAAAGAGAAAAAGCAGCACTGTGATCCAGGTTACCACAATCTCCTCATGAAGAATTCCCAGGTAGAGGGGTTGGGGTTTTTGGTGAGGGAATGCTTTTTGTAGTGTTTTCTTTTAAGGAAAACTGACAGAACTGCACAGAAAGGGACCACTGGGTGAGCCACCCTGTCTCCACTGGCAGTAACTCCCAGGCAAGGCTGAGCTGCCCTGGTTCCTCGGGAGCCAGGCTGGATTATCTGTGCTCCCCAGCAGAGCTGTGTTGTGCCAGGACCAGCCTCAGCCCCTGGCTACCTGCCAGGTCTCCAGTTGAAGCAGGGATAAGTGTTTGGTTCAGGCTATTTGGGATTCAGGTAAAGAGAGCTGCAGGTCCAACCTCTCTCTCCGTGAAAGCCTTAACTCCCCCCTGCCCCGCAGCCTCCCCCTCCCTCTGCCTGGGCCTTACGTCAGCCAGGACTATCCTGCCACTGCGAGGGGCTGCTCCCAGCTCCTGTTCACTGTAAACGCCTCTGGATTTTCCTGCTTGAAGCCACTGTCTCCCTGTAGAGCCCAAGTGCCATCCCTGACAGCCTCTGCTCCTCAGTGCTGTGCTGCTCTCCCTGCATTGTGTGAAGTGCCAGGTGCAAAGCTCATCCCATTGGAAACAAACCCTTCAGCACCTTTCCCAAAGGGCTTCTGGAAGTGCATACCTGTACCCTAGCCCAGAGGGCCGCTGCAAACAGCCTTTTGGGAATGAGAGGAAGAAGACAGCAGAGCTAGCAGAGAGAGCAGAAACTCTCAGCCACCTCCCCCTTGGTGTGCAGCCACAGCCAGGTGTGCTCCGAGGGTGGAAGCTCTCCAAGAACCCAAACTCATGTCCAGCACTGCTGAGCCACAGTACAGAATTTAAAAAGGTGAAGGCACCAGCTTTTCCCAGGTAACACAGACCAAAACCTTTCCGTTATTGTTTCTCCTGCCCACAGCTTCAGCAGCATCCTGCATGACCCTGCCCTGCCAAGCCATACAGTGAACTATGCAGTCCTGCTCCTGCTCTGGGCTCAGTCTGCTGGTCCTACAGAGAGTTTTACATCCTCATTAACCCCAAAATTCATATGTGAGGTTGGAAAGGGTGTCATGCATCAGAACAAGGCAGGCAGGTGACACCAGGAGTCTTAGGTGGGTGAGCTGGAGGACGGTGACAGCCCAGTCCTGTGTCCCAGAGTGGAGAGAGCAGGGGGACAGCAACGCTAATAATCCTCTAATCCAAGTGCAGTTGTGCTTGGGCTCAGTAATTCTTGCTTGACCACATCCCCACGAGGTGACAGCAGCTCTGTTCCTCAGCAGTTCCTCACATGGACTCTATTGCATCTAGAGCTGCCACTCCCTCTGTTTCCAGAAGAGGGTCTCCCAGTGCATGCAGGAATGAGGCTCCAGGAGTGTGCTCCAGCTCTGGATTTTCACCTCTGCTTTGGAGCAGGACGTGACCCGCAGGAGCCCTTCCTTGGGAAGGGGAGTGCAGTCATAGGTGAGTAATGAGGACTTGGCCCCTATGAAGTCTTAAGTAAAGCATTAATTTCTGATTTTTGCAGAGTCTTATCAGGTGATATCTATATGCATCTCTGAGAACACCCCCACAACTTTGTGCCTATGTCTTTGCAGTGATCCCCCGCCCCTGCTCCCCGCTGGGGGATCAGTGAGCATTGCACAGTGGTAGTAAGTTGCTACACAAAACCAAAACCGACTTGAAAACGTTCTGGTCCTCTTTGACCCCAGAAGGGATAGAACCTCAAGTGTGCTCTGCCATCCCCCGTGCTGGTGACAGGGCATTGACTCAAGTGGTGTGTTAAATGTCAGGAAATCCGGGTGAGAAGTTGTTTTCCCTCCTTTCGTTGTGGCGGCTTAGGCACGTTCCTGTTCCCCGAGCCCAGATCCCTGTGAAAGGCATGGTGTGGTGTGAGCAAGCACCACATTCCTCCTGTGTGCACAGCCCTGCCTTGTCCAGCTGGGGGGAGGGAGGGGGACAAAAGGGTTGTTTTGCCGTTCATTTTCCTGCTGTAGAAGACTTGATTTTTCTTTCCCTGAGCCGCATGAGAGAAACATCCCAGAAAGTCTTGGGTTACCTTTGGAGTTCCCTTCACTTTAATTTATAGAGTGTCTTTTTTTGTGAACTGGTGTAAAATGTATATGCTGACAAGCTCATGTATTTTTATGTAAATATTTTTTGTGGTTCCCCACTTGCCCTTCTCTGTAAATATTTAGAATTCTCATATTCTTCTCACCTTGTATGATGCAGATGTGGTTTTGTTTCTGTTTTTTATTTGTACTGTAATGCAACAATCCAGACTGAGGTGTCTTGTGGTATTAAACAAAAGCAACAGTCCCACTGAGCTCACACTCAGATGTGCAACTTGACAGCATTAATCAAGCCAGGTTAAAAACTACTCAGGTGTGCCTGTGTGTATTTTTTCCTCTCTGCCTCGTTAATTAACAGCGTACTTAAAAAACAAAACAGGAAGAGCCAGCTTGGGGCCGTGCCTTGGAGGGAGGGATGCTGGCAGGCAGCTAAGGATGAAGGAGGTGACTTTGAATTCCCATGCCAAGGCTTGGGCTTATCTGTGCCATTCCACCTGTGCCCATTGCTGCTTCCTAACAATAAATAAACCTGCCTGGGCTGTTTGAGTGTCCCTTTCCTCTCACCCAGCACGACAGCACAAGCAGAAACAGCCTGGCCCTGGCAGTGAAGGCACAGGGCAGATGAAGTCAGGACAAACAGATGGCACAGGCCACCTCCGAATTGGCTGGAAGGGATTCTGGGCACCACAGTAATACTGCTCATAGTTAATTAATAGCAAAAAGATGATTAAAGGAAGCGAATTTCAGACATTTTTAACACTCTAAGAAGGATCTCTCACAGTTTTTTCATCCAGTAAATAATACTGAGTTTAGACCTGCTGCCAGAAATAAGAGCAGCCTGATCCTTCTCTGAATGGAGGACAGGTGACCCCACTGCTCATGGACCTGTGTGGTGGCTCCTGCTGTGCAGTCCAGCTCTGCCCAGAGGCTTTGTGTGACTGCAGAGGGGCTGCATCAGGGCCTTTGGAAATCTTTGCCTTATCTGCTCTCAAATCCTCACTTCAGTCCAGATCTGCTTATTAATGCACATCCAAACTTGGTGCTGCTGTCCTTGTAAGGTCCCACCAGCAAATGCAGCAGCCCACCCCTCCTGCCTGAGCCAGGAATTCCTGCTCTTCCAGAGCCAGGAGCAGAGGCTGTGCCACAGGGACCCTCCTCATGGGAGGACACCAGAGCTGCCCTGACAGGGCAGGACATGACCAGGCTGATTTGGCAAAGAAAAATCTTGATTTTCAAGTTCAGTAGACAAATTCCCGTCTTAACTGAAGTGTTGGTGGCTGGCCAGCCCGTTTTCTGCACAGCACCCTGCCAAGGGTGGGTAAATCTATGGCAGGACACTGGGGCTGGGTGGGAAAGGGAACAGAGGAGGATGAACCCCAGGGATGTTTCCTCAGGGAGCAGCCCCAGAAGTGGCAGCCCACCCCCCCAGCTTGGCTTAGCCTGAAGTGCTCCAAAAGCAGCACCACGGGCATTTCCTTCAATGCCACCGAGATCAGTGAGCCAAGATCTGCGGGCTGGGGGTTCCACACACCAGGAGAGGGCTCGGGGTGCCCCTGCAGCACCGGGAGCAGCTCAGATGGCCTCAGTTCTCCACTGCTGTAAGGATAAACAGGATGGAAACTCCATCTCCTCCGTCTGTCCTGAGCAGCTGAGGTTTGTGGGCAGAGCAGGTTGAGGAAAAGGGAGAAGGATGGGTTTGAATTGTACCAAAGGAGCGGCAGAAGCCGGGGCGCAGAATCACTTCTCCTCCCGAGCAGTTTCCAGCAGGCAGCGCTGTTTGACCGCCTTTGCCTCTCAAACCCGACCTGCCACTGAAAAAGATGATGATGTTCCTTTCCAGCAGTTTCTGCTCGGCTTTCCAACTCCTTGCACCTAAGGATGGGTTTCCTTTTAGTTTTTTCATATTAGAAGGGATTTGCAGAGTGGTCAATGTCGGCAGCATCCTAAGGCAATCCTGAGAAGCAGCCCCACTCCCCCCAGCGGGAGGTGACCTGCACTCCTCGGCAGGGATCCACTAAGTTCCACTAAGCTCCAGGGCCCCATCCCTAAAGAACACAACAATATGTTCACTTCTACACTAAAAGGCATCCAAAACCAGCAACTGATGCTGGAAAAGCCAGGAAGATGCTCAGTCCTTCCTTCCTCCCTCCAGCTGGTGCACGGATGCCCTGCTAAGATTCATTATGAGCTCACAGAGCCAAAGAGCCCCAGCACAGGCTCCGAGCCCAACACCTGCCAGAGCAGGGCTTGGGCAAATACATCCCCAGCCGTGCCAGGGCTGAGCCTCCCCTCCCTTCCCTTCCTCCTTTCCCACAGCCCAGGCTGCATTTGCATTCTCACCTTCCCATCGCCTGCCTGGGGCCCGGGCAGGGCAGGGGACAGAGGTGACTCTGCCCCAGATCGCTCCAAACTGGAGCTGCTGGTACCTCTCTAGCAGGACTTGACAGGAGTTTGGCAGTGTCACAGGAGCGGAGGAGGGCTGGAGAGGTCACCCAAATGCCCTGGATTGGCATTCCTGGTGCAGGAACTCCCTGCCAGCCCCTCCAGAGAGCTGGCACGGAGGGCAAGGATCCTGCCCAGGCACAGACTGGCCACTCCTAAGGGGGAATTCGTGACGTGGGGCCAACAGCAGCAACCAAAATGGATGGGAAAAGCAATTCTTTGTGCTCCTCTCATCCTTCTCGGGGACAGCAGGAGCCTCCTCCCACTCCTCCCTCGGGAAGAGCTGAGAGGGCAGGGTCTTGCCCTTTGCTTTGCCTCTGCAAATGCTTTGAGGCAGCTCTGCATCAGGAACTGTCACAACAGCACTCCCTGCCCCTCTGCTGTCACTTCATCAGCCTTTCCTGAGGGTTTTTGTTAATCCTGTGCCATTTGTATGCTCAGAGGCAGTGGGAGAAGCCAGGGGTGTTGGGAAGGGCTGGGGTGTCCCAACGAAGGGATCACCCACTGCCTGATAGAACCTGGGGGCTGCTCAGCACACCCAGAGTCACTGCAGTCCTGTGGGGTGACCAAACTGCACCCCACCCCTAAAGTCATTAATTCCAGAGGCAGCAGAGCCCAAACCAAAGGTGTGACCTGCAGAAAGCATCCCTGGAATAGGGAATGGGCTGTCCTGGAAAAAGGAGGGCTTGGTGCATTTTACAGGGAAATTAAAGCTGCCTCAACTCCATCCCGTGCTTCTTAATCCTTCCAGCTCCAGATCCTTCCCAATGGGCCAAGGAAAGTCAGCAGCCTCAGACAGACACCTTGAGTCCAGACTGTGTCTGTTTTATGGTCAAACTGCAGGACAGGCTCCTCCAGGATCTGCCTGGAAAGGTCTCCCTGCCCCACAGAGCCTCCCCCAGGCCCTGCCCAGCATCAGAGGGGGAGCCTCACTGCTCTGATTGCCTCACAAGGGGAAGAGGGAGATGGATCCCCCCAGAAATGTCCTCTACAGAGTGTCTGAATTCATTAATTACAGGCAGATGCAGTCAGGAGGCTCCCACCTTTCTGAACAATGAAAGATGCCCTTCTAAACACCAAAGGCAGCATGGAAGAATGAGATCCTCATACAGATCTGATCCTGATGGGGGTTGTGCATTTAGAAGGACACAAGGATTGTAGGTGTGACAGGTGAGAAAAGAAAAACAGGTTACACAAAGGGGGAGGTGTTCAAGTAAAAATGCATTCATCCATTTTTTAAAGATGCTGGAGAAGAGTATTTGACTCCAGCAAGTGCTGGAACTTTATGCATTATTCAAACTGTGTGAACGTTTGAAGCCTGGAGACCTGGAAACCTTCAGTGAGAACAAGTCTCCTGGCACGTTCCCAGGGAGGAAGTGTGGCTGATCCGTGTCCTCCTGGCAGAATCAATGATTTCCATGGTTTCCACTTCACAGCAGCTCTGCTTCCCCTGCACCCCCAGACTACACCAAACCCCAGTGGGATGCACTCAGGATACCCCAGGGAGAAGCTGCTCCTGAGCCACCGGGGCACACAGAAGTGAAGTGGTGCAAACACATGGAAATGCAGCAGGAAGGCAGAGGGATGAAGGAGAGCACAGCAGCCCACATGAAACTTGCAAGGGAAAACCAAGTCATCCCCTTCCTCCAAATCCACCCTCACCCTCCCAGGCAGCCAATCCCATCCACAGCAATATTCCAGAGAACCTCATTCTGCTGCAATTCAAGCTATAAATTCAAACATCAGAATAAAAAAAGAGGTGCCAGACGGGGCCAGGTTTTCAGACAAGCAGGCAGGCAGCCAGCAGCACAAACACACTGAGCACGGGCAGACATCTGCCTTGCCCCCTCCTCTTCCCCATCCCTGCTTTTTATTTATTCCCATCTTTTCTTTTTTCTTTTCTTCACATTCCCCCGGTTGCTTTCTGAGGGGGACCTGCATCACCTCGCCCATGGGGTTTTTGTTTCAAGCCTTTAGTTTCTTTTCTGTGAATCCAGCTCAAGCTTTGCCAGCCTTTCTCCCTTGATCCAGCCCCACAAGGGTGGGAACTGGAGCAGGATCTGCCTCATCTTCTATGGCCAAAGACAGCTGGGGAGGGATGGCTGGGGAGGGATGGCTGCCCAGCAAAAGCAGGAGGTGGATCCCACCACAAACCCACACTGTGCTGGCCAGAAACCCCACTGATGGAGAAAGTGGAATTTCACTGGTAATGCAGACACTTCCCAACTAATCTCCCATACAAAAGGCACATTCAAACACTACAGAGCAGCCGCCAGCTGCTGCAGGAGAGCAGAGAGGCTGCCTCAAACGTCCTCACTTTTTCCTTGTGTGAAAGGCTCTTGGAAAAGGAGCCGATGTTGAAGTGCCTCTGCTTTATGAAATACTTTCCTCAATCAACAAAATAAGTTCAAAAGCAAAACAAACCCACTGTAACAACACCCCCAACCCACAGCCTTGTCCCTTGCACCTCAGGGATGATTTTAAGGTGAAGGATGAGGGCAGGCTCAGTGTCCCACCCACAGGGAACTCCTATGGAAGGGAGTGGAGGTTTCTGTCAGGGCTCTGAGTCTGGAATCTGCAGGGCAAGGGCAACCACAGAAAGGTTTGGGTGGGAAGGATCCCCTCAAGCTCATCTTGTCCAAATGAACAGAGTGATTTTCACATCAGGTTTTGAGGGACAGGTGGACCATCAGGAAAATGAGGAAAAGCTCCTTCCCAAGAGCCAGAGGGGTTATTTGCTGTTGGTGGAACAGCAATTGATAGCATAAAAGCCCACAGGGCTCTGAGTTAATCACTCTCTTTTCCAGAGCAGGATTGGAATAATAAAGGGACAGACATGAGACCATGGGGAAAAAAGAGACTATTT